GAAGTTTGATCCTTCAGATGGAAGAAATCGAGGAGGAACCAGATAGCACGATTAGTGACGGAGTTAACATCTTCGATGACTTCGCTGTTGACAAGGCTGAAGGTACGGTTTTTTTCAATAAAGTTGGTTTCTTTTCATGTTTTTCTTATAGAGAGCGACGGCAGTTATCCGGCCATCAATGAGACAACTTCTTTTGCGCCAGCATTGAGAAAATCCAATCTTGAAATTAATGATGACAAGCCTAAAGTTGAGGAAGTCAAGACGTTCTACTCAATTCCAGAATTTATAGTTTGTGAGGTAAGAAAGATAAATGTGTGAAGAGGGCATGATATTTAGGCTTTTTGTCAAGAGAATTTTTTCCTTTTCGTATTCATCAGTCGTACCATTTAAAATAAGGTTTTAAATCCAGTTAGAGTTATTTATTATAGTAATCTCAACATTGGTCTGCTTATGTCTATCGTTTCACAATTTTCACTTGTTTTTCGAACCTCTCTGTAGAACATGGTTTTTAGAAACACGATGGTGACAGCAACGACTTTTTTGACACATCACCCTCCGTGATAAAAGACTTTTTACTGGCTCAAGTGCTTGGTATACGGTCTGTGATAGCTTGAGTAATCGCTATTGTTTTTTGTAATGCCTCTTTTGCAGAATATTTGTATTTGTGCTGCAACTGCTATTTAATTCATGGGATTTTTCAACAGATGCGTTTAAAGGAGTCCCGGTTGAAGAAGGTATATTCCATTAGTTGTAGCCTGGTAATTTGCTTTTTTCGAAGTAAACTGGGAAAGTCGATGAACTGTTTGCAAGTTATTTGTGCTCATTTTTCTTTAGTTTCTCATGAGGGTTATGCCCTTTCAATATATGCCTTGTCGACACTTATTCATTTTTTCCTTCATTATTATACACTTCAAGGGTGAAAGCCCTATACTAATACTTAAATTAGTTTTTTTTTTGCCCATCATTTCTTGTTGTTCTAGATGAGCTGTCTTGGCTTGACCATCTAATACAGCGAA